GAGATGTTTCCAGGGAAGCGATTTTTTCAAAAATATAATAGAAAATTTTACCTGCGATAAATAGATCATGTGTTGAAATCTTGTAACGTTATCTGTTGTAGTTGGTAATGTAAAGTGAGCCTTTATTTCATCATACATCTGCTGCGTTCCTATAAGAGAGAGTCGATTTTTCCATAAAACGATTTTGCCGACATAATAGAGGCAATGATAGCATTATACTATAAAACCCAACGCCTTTTCAGTGGTATATATAATAGATATGTAATATATTATGTTATAATTATATTATATCATTGGTAATTTGGACTATTCAAAAGAGGACTGGCAAACCCACTGGAATCAAATATTGATTGTCGATGTATCTTTCACTAGGCAACAATATATAGCAACAATCTTTGAGATGGGTAACCTAATTATGATGAATTTCTATATATTTGATAATTGGACATCTAATACTTATATCAATTAGTAGAGGTATTTTAATGATTGGAAAAAGTAATAGATCGTATAAAAACTAGGCGGAAAGCGATCTTTAACGGAATTAAAGAATGACTACTATCGTATTAGTCGTATTAGATTTAACGAATATGTTTTACCATTTGGATGATGTGTTCTATGTTGTGCTATAGGTGAAAAGAAATCCATATCAGATTTATCTATGACAGGCTCCAGTGTTTCTGGATCACACCAAGATATTAATCCATATTCGGATGCAAACCTCGGAGTGGGAAAATTATTTATATTCCATAAATCCGATATATAGTCATAGAAATGTACTGGAAATAGAAGAAGAAAAGGACATGGTGAATAGACAAAGCTTCAAAGAACAGAGCACTTGGTTCTTGAAAATCATTAAGAACCTATAGGAGGTAATCACAGATATCAACAGAAGACAAACATACCGATCTTTATCATAATCAAATTGTCAACAGCATTTTAGTTTAAGTAGATGTCGGATGTCTAACAATTCTTACCATCGCCATTAAGTTCAGATTGACAGTTATTACACATTATATCTGACTGACCATTACTAGGACTAGAAACTATTCTAGGTCTGGTGAGATCCTCTGATGTTATAATTGGTGCCAAGGTCTCCCTAAATAGTACTCTATAATCATCTCTAAATCGTTCCACATCAGTCACATGTAACCTAAATCGAAATGGAGTAATTCTTTTTAGACTTTATTGGGTTAATGGTGAGCAGACGAAAATATGCGGTCTTATTTTTAAGCCAGCCAGCTGTCGCCGAGTTACTTCTGTTGGCGCTCTCCAGTTGTCACTTCACTATGAATTCCTTCATCAAGTGTACCAGTGGGAAGTATGTTTTCCATAACAGGTTTAATTATGAATGTCAAACGAAGTTCACTTGATTCTCTGAATATGAACATGCTCTTCTTCATTCACGACAACATCAAGTATTGCAATGTCTATTTGCTTGGTAAATAAAGTTAAATTGCAGCAGTAATCAGCTCAGCTAAAATTCTTTTAAACTTGTATTTCTTAGAACCTAATATAGTTACTTTTCTTACTTCGCACACAATTCTTGCAACTTGGCGCATTTTGGTTTGAAGCATGGACATGTATGTTGAAAGCAAGTTCTCACAAACACATTAAGTATTTGGAAATTAATATTGTCTGTAATTTCAGAAATTGTCCACTTGTCTTGTAGTTCTATTGGAACTTGCAACCAATTTAGCAATTTGCTTTAGAAGTCTAGGATTCTTATGTATTGGACCGGTCAGTCTCAGTGGGAGAGAATCATTTATCTGGTTTCAGTGACACTTAGTGGCAAAGGTTGCGGCTAGCCAGTTGGTTTTATAGCAAGCTAGCCACAGCGACCAAAGGTGTTGACTTGGCTATAACCAGCTGATACAACCCCTCAGCCAGCCGAAAATTGGCAAGCTGGCTGGCTAATGGGTCTAGTTTTTGTACAACATGACCAAAAAATCAATATTTGGTGTACAGATTAATTACTGTCAGACTGGCGGACTGAATCTAGACTTTTGACTGAAGTTGATACATAATGGTGTAAATTTTCAACACATTACACGACAGTGAAGGATTTTAAAGCTACTTCGACATCCAAAGACATATAAGGAAGATTAGAGTACATACCAATTCTGGTTGATGAGAATTTCGTCTTCATTATTAAATACCCAAGCAATAATTGATGGATGATTCTTGATTCTTCGGACCTTATGAAAAAAGGTAAATCAAGAATTTTTAATATGATATTAATCAAGGATTTGTATTCAAATAATTCTATTCATTCATTATTGAAGACAGTATTCATACGATAAATCTCCCTGGTACATTTTCTCAATTTCGTTACATTTTGAATATTAAACTCCTTTTTTTATTTACTCCTTTGGAAAGTTAACCGCCATTTTTAAACTATCTTCTCTGTTAAGCATATAGATGTGTACTAGTCAATTAAGAAATAAAGTATAAACAGCAATGGTAAATTGGCATTCAGAGTTGCTAAAAATTACATACTTGTTGAGTTACTTCAATTTTAACAGAATCTAGAAAATTCTGATCGACAGGATATAGAGCATCACAGAACATTAGATCTTCTAACACCATGATTCCTAAATTATTGGTTAATTCATAGAAATAGTCATCTTCATAGATCTACAATTAGAGACAGATATTCACAAAATAATATCAATACTGTACAAAACACAAGAAGACAAGTTTCATGTACAGTTTTAAACTAATCTACAATGGGTTATTATTGCTTGATTTTATCTAATTAGAAGAAGATTCCTCATGCATTAGTTTCAAAAGGTTTTTAAGTGAAATCTGGGCAGTAAGACTTCAACTGGTCCATGTATTGTTAAGAAATTCATATTTTCTTCAGCCACCGAATGCAACAAAATCTCGATTTTCTCCTCTGTCACTCTTTCTAGCATTGTATCAGGTGGGACCCAGTTAGCACCTTTCATAAATATTGGTACACCATTTATACGGAAATAGAATGTGTTGCCTTCAAAATAACAAAATGCATCCTACAGGACATGAATTGGTTACTGGCACCATAGCATAATGACCTTGCTTAAAACTTACAGATACTCCAGATACTGTTAACAAATTCATATTTCCTTCTATAACTGATTGTAATATATTCTCTATTTTATCTCTAGTTATTCTTTCTAACATTGTATCAGGTGGGACCCAGTTAGCACCCTTCATAAATATTGGTACACCATTTATACGGAAATAGAATGTGTTTCCTTCAAAATAATATAGTTTATTGCCTTACTTCAGTCCAAATAATTTGGCTTTCCTTTTTCTAATTTTCTTAAACACGGAATTTTGTAGGTGAGAAAGGCCTTGAGTTCAATTACATGATTTACCCGATACCACCAATCATGAACATCATCTGGAAAACATGTTGAAGAAACACAAATTGGACAACAGTGGAGATTAAGCTTACTCTTCAACAAGTGATCACATCACCCATACACAGTTGATGCATCTGGCTAATGACGACCAAGCCACTACTCCTATATATTATTATCGTACCTAAATTTTTATCTGAGGAGACAGGATCTCGAACTAATTCTACTGTTCTGAACCCAATCTGTTTGGTTTTGGTTGATATGTCAGGAGAATCATCCAGGGTTAAGGTTGCTGTCAAGTTATATACATCTTGGTTACCATAACCTCGGGGCCACCATAAATTTAACGGATGGTCCTGGAATGAAAACAGGTCACGACTTTCACTTGGTTCAATGTGATACCCACAAAATACCCATTTAATATTCTTGTGTGGACTCGATTGACTAGTCCCCGATTCTTATAGTGTTTGTACAATGCTAGTGGGTGGACAAAACGATCAAAAGAAGAATAGTAAAGTCTTTGGTGACTATTGTATTGTATAGATAAGCTATGATTAATCAAGATTTACCTATAAAATTACATATCATATAGATTGAACCTTACCTGTGGTATAATTATTTTATAAGAGATATGATCTGTATTCGATGATATTTGAACAACCAATATCTGTTTTGGTAGTAATGTTGGTTCAATAATAGTCTTCAACTGTCCTGTAGTTGGTGTTGAAGTAACATCAAAATATACATCAACATCAACCATCCAAAGACCAGTCTCTTAAATAGATATAAAGTATTTTGTTCATTGACAATAATCTGAAAAAACATTTCATGTCGAAGGCCCAAATATAGAATAAACCCCCCAAAAAAGAGTCTGACAATTTTTCTACTTAAAATAAATAATTGAAAGGTAGGTGTTGAGTTCGTCGTTTCAGACATAGTGGAAATAGGGAATGGTTTTCATATACACATGTAAGTCGTAACGATTCCCATGCACTTACTAAGTCAAATTCTTAGTCAGTCTTTACTTGTCCCAAAAGCATTACAGTGAGTCTCAATAATTTTGGAATATGATATTTACGACAGAGTTAATTATTTTAGCCATCACAGCTACGTTACGAACAATAATGCGATATACTTTGCTGTATAAAAGACATAGTGATATAAAGTAACTCTTCGTGATTTTTTCTCATTGATTGTCGATCCATACCTGACTGCTTTGGTAAAACAGAAATACTATTTATTTTTGGAATATCATAACATTCTACGTAGATATTTCTCCTGGAAAATTTTGAATTTTATGTCAATTTTGCCACCAAAAGACCAAGTAAAAGAGTAGAGATATAATGAGTAAATCAAACGATGAGAGATGAAGATGGAAGGAGTGAATCTACGTGGTTTTAGTAGTAGTTCGCAAGACAATCACTATCCATGCCTCTGAGAATCAAGGAAAGTTATTGAGCAATGAAGTGTTAATTTTCCATGAACTATGTGCACATAAACAAAAAGAAAACACAAGTTCTTGAGAGTGAATAAATACTTCGTTCCAAAAGTCGTAATAAGATGAAGCCATGACAATTGAGAATGGCCAAGCTCTAAATATGAAACCCATATACGTACCAAATACCCTGGTTAGGTATAGCTGGACCCCAATCCCAACTAAATGAATATTCCATCTTTCTGATGAAGTTATAATGACAAAAACCATGGTAAGCATCTGGACATATTGATGGTATATGGTAGGTAGATTTATTATACAAGGCTTCAGCAGTTATTACAGCAGATTGGAAGCTGATGGTAATATTATTTATACCAGGTTTTATAACATGTTTAATATTATATCTATACTTTATAAACATATTATCACTACTACCAACCAATACACCATTTACCATTATATCAGAGAATGTGTCCAGTCCATCACAAACTAGTTCTATTTTAGTAGACTTAAAATCTGCCTCACTAACTGTAATGGGGAATGGCGCTTGATTAAATATGAAATGAAATGGATTTTAAATCCTGCTTTGGTGTACCTATTCGGTCTTATGAGGACGGGTAACGTCATGCAGTGAGCAAAGAGAAGTTTTACCAGGGCAGTGGCATTTTAAATGTAGAGTGACCTTTAACATGAACAGTCTTTAGCACACTGGACCTCGTTTTATTGTCCTATCCAATCCACTACACACTTTGTCCATGTCATTTTCTCAGACCTGCATCAGTAGGTATTGTAGTATAATTGCGTAATACGTTTCGTGATCAGGCCTTACAGACTCACCAGTAAATTTTCTATTATATGTATAGCCATAATAAGCATAGGGTCTGTACACTACATCATTATCACGTCGATAAGGATCTTCTATTATTCTGCTTTGTATTAGAGAAGTGTAAACATCTCCTGGTACGTTACCTTGGATGTTGAATTCTAACAAAAAACAATACTGAATGACAATTTATAGAAATAGCACAACATTATTCCAACATATTGCTGGTTTGGAACATCAAATGTGATTTCTTCGTGGTAAATGTTTATATGTATAGACAATGTAATTGTGTAACTCATGGCAACGTGGCATCGGATAAACTTTCTGTTCTATTTATCATTTTGTATTTAAATTTTCAACAACAAAAAACATGGCTTGTAACTTGCAAAAATCTTTTTAGTTCTATTCATCATTTTGTATTGAAATTTGTAAAGAAACATGACTTGTAAATTGATAATTATTTAACACAATACTTACGACCATTCGTTATACTCCAAACTCCATTTAAATCAAGTACATTATTTGCATCAGTATAACCAGTAACAATAAGTAAAATGAAAACAATATCATAAACACACATAGTTTGAGTTTTAATAGAAAATTTTGTAGATATAGTCTATGATATGGTCCGAGGATACCTCAGATAGGTGTATTTTTCCGTTGACTCCAACGATAAATTGTAGCTATATATCTAAGACGATGTCGCTGATAATCATACAATAAATAGTCATATGATTTTTCATACAATACAGTACCAGTATTTTTCGTTTTTGTTAGACATTCTTCAACCTGTTCATTTCGAAGTTTGAGATTCACGATTTATATCAATATCCATAATTATTGGAGAGTATAATGATTATGGGCAGAAGTTGATGATGTGGAAGATATAATATAATTCAAATGAAACTTTATTCATAATAAATGAAAGCATTGATTTTGGGCGCAGCCATATTAAATTAAGGAACATAACTCTAATACACATTGACTCACTCCCCTTAAATCATGGAAATGAGCCTAGGCTATTTTTAGAAATCTTCTTTCTCTCTCCCCTTTGGTTTTTTCCATGCCTATTTTTGAGTAATTTTTGGTCTAGATTTGGAATTTGATGCCTGAAATTGCATTTTCTTTAAGATTTAGTGGGATGATTAGAGACTTAATGGCGGAAGGATAATTCTAAAAATAGTCGTTTTGTGAACTGCCAAATATGAGGACTCACTCCACTAAAACATTTTATGCAAATGATTGTATAGGAATGTAGTCCAGGCTATTTTTAGAAATCTTCTTTCTCTCTCCCTTTTGGGGTTTTTGCCTGCCTATTTTTGGGTAAAATTTGGTCTAGATTTGGAATTTGATGTCTGAAATTGCATTATCTTTCAGATTTGGTGAGATGATAAGAGACTTAAAGGCGGAAGGCTAATTCTAAAAATAGTCGTTTTGTGAAGTGCCAAACTCTAGCGGATGAGTATAACCGGTAGTAGTCTACTTTCAATTTTAGTAGCTCAAAATTTTCATGGTCATCATATAATGAATTTTTTAGGAGACATTGAGAAATTGGTCAGGCTTTCATTCGACATGTTGGAAA